ATTACAAGGTGGAAAGTGGTCGATGAAGTTGTTTCACTTTGGCATGCCTCATTCTGACTTTCTATCCTCTCATCGAGTAAAGTCGTGACATGGAAAATAACAGAATGTCTCAACCATCAGATCCTCCGACCAGGACTGGATGTCCAAGGTTCACCATCTACCATTGGTGCCCTATCCAACACCACACAACACACACACACACAAAGATACACACTTACTTCATGGGACTCTGGGATTCCTACCCAGGCTTCCTAGTATGGAATTATGGATAACTCTTTTCTCAAGCCAGAGGAGGAGGTATGACAAAGTGTCGTAGATAGTAAAAGACAGACGGGCTCTACAATGAGTAGATACTGTCTCCCAGCGGGTGATGGGGTGTAAAAGTGAAAAGATAGGAGGAAACACAGGAGACAGTACTAGGAACTAGCTGTTGAATTTTATTTTCCTAGCAAAGTAGTTCTCATACTTCAGCACATGATAACCACCTGGAAAAAACCAAACCCACTGCCCTGGAGTCGATTCTGACTCATAGAGACCTTATACAACAGAGTAGAAATGCCCCATAGGGTTTCCAAGGAGCTACTGATAGATTCGGACTACCGTCCTTTTAGTTAGCAGCTGTAGCTCTTAACCACTGCAGGGTTTGGTTAAAACACAGATTGCTGGTCCCCACCCCCAGAGTCGCTGACTCCGTAAGTCTTGGCTGGTGCCTGAGAATTTGCATTTCTAATAAGTTCCCAGGCAATGTTGATGCTGCTGCTGGTCTGGGAACCACACCAACATGAGGGCCATGGCAGTCTTGGAATTCCATCAAAATCCAGGCCATCCATGGCTCATGCATACAGGTTTCATAGTGTCTGGGGAGCCCAGAGGCATAGTGAATGACTCTACCTTCCGTCTTTCCAAAAAGTAAGTTTAATTAAACTAAGATATGTTGAAAGCCTATTTTGCATGATCTGCATGAATAAGGCACAGTCCCTTCTCAAACTGTTTACAGTACCTGCCACACCCATTCTGACAACCACAGGCATTCAGAACCAGAATGACCGTGGACTTGCAGCACTGCTTTTCCTGAGGCTGCTGCAAGGGTTTTCCGGTTAGGCCTTATCATTCTCCCTGGGATATTTGAACTCCAGCTACTTGGTATGGGTGCACTTTCACAGTATTGCTCTTAATGTTCCTTCTATGTGGGCTTTTAGCCATGGACAATAGAACATTTCTGAGGTATGAAGTTAAAAGAAAAACTGAACTAACCCCCTCGCCCCCACCGACCTTTCTCTATCACTGAGTTCATGAGAGAGTTACATATCTAGAGCAGGCTGATGAGAAGACAACTCTGGCCAATATCCGAGAATGCTAGCTTTCAAAACTGTGCTTTTGCCAATTATTCTATGCAGCCTTGGCCAAGTTGTAAATTTTCTGAGTTTCTGTTTCCTTATCTGCAAACTGAAGATCATAACGTCTATTTTACATGGATCTTGTGAGGATGAGTGATAATGTACAGAGTTAGATATCTCAGCCTCTATATTTCTTCTGTAAACTTCCTAAGGTACTGAGCCCATCAACTGGCACAGAGTAGACATTTATTAAATAACAGCAACTATTCTAGGGTTGGAGCCCTTGTGGTGCAGTGGTTAAGAGGTCAGGCTGCTAACTAAAATATTGGCAGTTCAAATCCACCAGCTGCTCCTTGGAAACCCTATGGGGCAGTTCTACTCTGTCCTATAGGGTCACTATGAGTCGGAATCGACTTGACGGCAATGGGTTTATTCTAGGGCAAAATGTGTGCTATAGGTGAAAGAACATGCATTTTATAGTCCTGGATCTGAAGCATGGTCTTCTCGGTTACCAGCAAGCTACTTTGTCTCAGAGTCTCAGTTTCTTCATATGTAAAATGAAAATGATAATCAGCCTCCCTCTAACACACACATACACACCCAGGTTCGTGATAGCCAGTGGCTGTCTGAATCCTACCTTTGAGTTCTAGATCTGGCATTTAGTAGATACGTGACCTTGGGCAAGAGATTTAATTTTTGGTACCTCAGTTTCCCCATCTATAGAAAGGTTGTTCTGAGGGTTAAATGAGCTAATATATACAAAGTGCTTAGACTCGTACAGTTCACATAGTAAATGCTATTTGTGTTAGCTACTTTTATTATCATATGTCAACTTTTTGACATAATAGATGTTTAACAAATGTTCTTTGCATTCCCACTTTATTAACCATATGATTTTAATTCAATTTAGGCTACATATAATATCTAAATAAATAATTTGAATTACTAATTCACCTTCCTGATGTGCACACTCATTAGCCTTGAGAACCATTGGGGGAACTCCTTAGAGGCCCTATAGCAGCCTGTGGTTATGGGCTTCCTCTGTAGCTCCTTTGGGATCCAGAAGCACAGCAGAATACATAGGAAGTTCTTTTACTGAAATCAACTTTTAAAAAACCTACGGAGAGCAATAGGTCTCCATTTCTTCCACTATTTCACCCTCCTCTGGCAAACGCCTATAGCATGGAAAACCTTGCCTTGATCTCTGAAATTCCTTAAAATCAAGCTTTTTACACCAATAAGGAGAGAAGGTTTAGTACATTGGCCTCCTAACTCCAGTTGTCTTTCCTATACCAAAACCTACTGCCGTGAAGTCAATCCCAACTCACAGGGACCCTATAGGACAGAGTAGAACTGTCCCATAGGGTTTCCAAGGAGTGCCTGGTGGAATTGAACCAGGAACTTTTTGGTTATCAGCCATAGTTCTTAACCACTACGCCGCCAGAGGTTCCAATAGGTCCCTTCAAATTAATCTAGAGCCACTCTGGCTTTCATAAGGAACGCGTCCACAAGCCCATAGGCAGGGTCCTGAATAGGCAGCCAACCGTCTCTGTTCAACAGTATAACTTGTTCTCACCTTGTCTGACATGAATTTAACAGAATATACTGAACGCTCATTACAAAGTCAGAGCAGTACCTCTGAAAGAAGTAAGAGTGGTAAAATGATGCTAACTAAAATCCTGTCCAGGAGAAAAGACTAGACAGCATTATAGGCTGCAGGGTTTTGGGAAGAAAGCTGCTGGTTTGGGCTGGAGTGGCTGAGAGATGATGGTTGAAGTCAACCCTGGTCTAAATTTTGAGGGACCTTGAAGAATCACAGGCCATCAAGGCTGGAAGGGAACTTCTTAGGGATATATTTATTTTCTCTTCATTGTACAAAAGAGAAAACTAAGGTCAAAGGTTAAGTCACATGCCCAAAGTAGCACGTCTAGCTACTGAAAACACATCATCAGAATTAAAACTCAAATCCCCAAGAAAGTGCCCAGTGCTTTCTCTACAAAGCACACCATGTTTGGATAAGCAAAGACCCTTGGAAGGAACTTCCAGGCATGGAGAAGGGGATGAAATGGGAGTGAGCATCTCCCATGGGCCCAATACTCATGAAGCAGGACTGGACTGGCGAAGTCAATGTCGGATGAGTAGGGTGGAGCCGTACCAGGTCCCACAACCCAGTCTCATCCTGAGGAACATCAGGAGAGTGCTAGGATAAAATTAATGCCATAAGAAGATTTTTCAATAAAAATAGCTTTTTAAAACCTTGGTGGTTCACTACATAACTATATTTTCTTTAAATGTGGGGGAAAAAAATCACCGTTGGGTGAATTAAATTTGCCCTATTAAAACGTTAAATATACTCTTAGAGGATCATAAAATATCTTAATATGCCCTACTTTAATGAATTCAAAATCTAAAACTCTGAAGCTTAAAAGTTCCTTTCTACCACTAAACAATGAGAAAAATGTTCACCTGAATTCAGAGACTGTCCCTTATATTGTAAGGCCATGAAATCAAAGGTAGAATTCTAAGAGGTTTAAATTGCTCTTTCCCTAAGCTCAGAGCCCAACCTTCAAATTCATGGCATTATGAATGTCCTTTAAAGTGTGGGAGTCCCCAGTGACATGTAATGGAATTCTTAATGCAATCAGGGAACAAGGAGCAATTTTTCTTTTATGAACAATGAGTAAGGGATACAGGGCCCTAAGTGAGCAGAGCTAAGTACACCAGCTGCTGTCAATCAATATTTTGACCATTAATAGTCATATAAGCTTTTAGTCCAATTTAAATGAATATCACTATGGTTACATTTTAAACCAGTTATGGATTATAATCCTTAAATGTTGCAATAATGAGAGGTGCAGAAATCATGAGAGACAATTACCCATTACTGTTCTTCATGAAGCAAATATATTTTTATGATGCCGCCACTAATTTTTAAAAGCATCCCACGAGGCTTAATAACATGAGAAAATCCATTTTTCATAAAGTGAACTATTTTTATTTGGAATACTGGATTTATCTCCAATCAATGCAGAGTCAAACAGAACACCATACATGATTTTTCTTGGCCACTACAACCCTTCATATGATATATTAGGGTTAACAACTTGGGACTTTTTTCTAAATGTAACTATAAAAAAGCAGTAATGTTCCATTTGATCATTTCCCCTTCATTTTACTCTCATGGGTCATTTCCTAAGTCCTTGCTCCCTAGAATTTTTTATTTTTTGGATTTCCAGGTGTACTGAAAAATGCATCAACATCTGTTTCATCCTCCAAAGAATGTTTGACACATGTCAATGGAACACCAGCAGAATGACAAGATGGTGGACTGGGCAGAGGTATTACAGAAAATTTGGTGCTTGAGAAAAATATTTATGATTCTTGATATAGAGGCAAATGATATATTACACAAATAGTCACTGAAAGCAAGAGCAGTACTCAGTCCAAGAAAGAAACGGTTAACCAAATTCATTGATAAGCAGGATGTGTGGGATGGCTGAACCTTAGAAGATGTTTCATTATGAGTATATGTATCTCTAGGATGGAGATGACTGAGCTACACTTTACTCTAAAATACTCACCTCCTTTTAAAAAAAAATTTAGAAGTTTAAATATGAAATGTAATTTTGTTTCTTTTCTTCCCCATCAATTATCACCACGCACCTGGTAGGGTTTCAGCAAAAACCACTGGTTTGTCTGACTGATGAAATTCTCTGAAATTTCACTCTTTGGGACTTTTTGGACAGGAGAATCTGACTGATCCTGAAAGCATAAACAGTCTGAGGATACAACTGGACCTCACAGACACATCTTCTCTCCAGAAAGCACACTGAAAAAATTTAATTATTTTAAAATATCTTCTACATCTCTTAGTAAAGAGATGCAGGTTGGATTCTAGCTCAGCAGCTAACCTCGCATGACCTTTACCTCGCTGTTTTTGCTTCCTCATCTGCAAAATGAGGATGTTGGACTTAAGATCTCCAAGGCTCCTTCCTAATCTGTGAATTCCAGTTTCATTTATAGCTGCTGGGCAATTAATTCACTTGACATCTCCTTTCCCTTTCTCATTAAAAAGTGTTTATTAGAAAGTTCTATCTTGTTCCTCTGCTGTAGCTTCAGACTATTTTATTACATCACAGGCAGAAAGTCTCCAGTAAACATTTTAGATATAATACTTAGATCATCACTGGAAAAGAAATATGAGAAGTCACTAATGCCATCCATATGGCCTATTTTCAGAGAATATCAGTGAGAGCTCTTTTAAGATGGACATAGGATTTACTGAGAGATGAGGATGAGTGAAAGCACATCAACCCTGCCAGAGGTGGCTATTTAGTTTAGGTAAGTCTCTTCACATCTCTGGGATTCAGCTTCTTCCTCTGTAAAATGAGGAAGCTGGAATAGTTCTTCTTAAATTTCAACAATTGGGATTCTATGCCAATGAAAAATCAGATAATGCTAAAAAAAAGTCTTTCCATTGTTTTATATAGTTCAAGAGAACTCAAGGGTGCTCAATATTCTAGTAATGGAATAATTACCTATATATGCATATCTTTTTTATAATCCTTTTTGCATTGTACATTGTTTCAGAAGTTGCTTTCAGTAACTTTAATGTAAAAAAATTTCATCAAAGGAGGACAAAAATCAGAAAGCCCAACTTAATTCCACTCTTATAAGCCTTAGCTTAAATTGTTTTAACAATAGCAACTTAGAGAAATGTTATCTCAACAGTGAACAATGCGCTAATATTTTATGTTTTCAACAACAATTAAGATATATTTCATGGAATTTTTGAGGATTAAAAGTAATCTGAATTTTTTCTAATTCAAAAGTAAAAATTACACTTACGTATTTTGAATGCAAAATATGCTTAAATTTGAATACGTTACCAAAATATAACCAAACTTCATAAAACAATATCCTTATCACAGATAAGCTGAAACTGATAAACGATTCATGGTTCAATCAAATTTAGGGCTGTGAAGAAATAGCGTCCTCCTATGGAGCTTTGTAATCGTCTAAGATTGCGCTGTTTTGCTAAACTATACACAGCCCTTTGGTTTAATGCCAAGAATTACCTTGTTTCTAGCTTCTCAGATTACATCCTGTATCCTTGTTGTTTATTTATTAGCAAAGTCAAGAGAAAGTGCTGGTCCATTGATGAGAAGGGCGAAAGGAAGACTGGAGCCTAAGCTTTACAGGTGACAGCACCACTTCCTTTCTATCTGCCAACCGATTACAATTTGTTTGTTTGTTTTTGCTCCAAATGAGAGTTTTGCTGTGTGCGTTAAGATCCTGCATATAAAGGAACTGAACTCTGGACTCTGAAGGGATCAGCGCATCATTCTAATGAAAAGAAATTACACTATTTAGCCTAAAACTTCCACCTAATAACTCAAGTATCTCACAGTGGGATCCAGCTAAGGCATAGGATTTCTTAAGCCTCAAATCATGACTATACATCCTTAAGTAACGCACTATGGACATCACATGGCTAACACATAAAACGTGCATTGATTCTGTTCCCTGAACCTCAGGGATGTAAAAAGGATTTCAGGACTTTCAAAAATGAGAGAAGCCCATATATAAATGCATATTCCTTGCTATGAATTATAACAATGTCTAAGCTGTTTCTATTATGTTCAGAAGTTATTATCCATCATCAGGCTGAGATAAGAATCATGAAGTGAACCATCGCATCGATAACATCAATTTGAAAACTATTGATACCTTGCATTTTACTTTAAAAGATGAGAATGTAGACTGGGTCATTTCTGTCATACTTTATTAAACTTCCTAAAAAGAATGGCATGGTAAATTGCACAGAAAGGGCAACACTTTGGGAGTTTATGACCTTAAACTAATGTTTTTCCAAACTTTGGACTCCAAAAATATAAATAAAAATTATATACATAACAAATAATACTGACAATAATGATCAATTTAAAAGTCTGAAACCAGGCTAAGATATGAAAAGTACTGCATGAAGAAACTCGTGTATACTGTGAGAAAATATTGTTCATAGAATTAAAATGGATTTGGAAATAATCATTATAATGGGAGGGGCGGGGTGTGTTTCTGCAAGAGTTTTCTTCTTGAAACTAGTTGATGTTAAGAGGATTTACTCCCTACATCTTTAAGTGATACTATTTCTAGAATTTTAAAATGCTCATCAGTCCTTCCCGGGAAAGAAGGCTGCTCTCTGTGGCGACAGAGCCATCGCTTCCCAATATCACTGTGAAAACAAACAGTTCGCCCAGTTTGACTCCCCACATGACAATGGACTGGCATCTGTCAACAGACTTGCATTATGTGCCTCGCCTCATGAGAACATGACCATGACATTCACTCTTGTGACAAGGCACATTTCGGCAGCTTGTCTGGAAAGAGATGAGCATTTCATTATGCTGCAGCAACTTTCATCAAACTAATGACACTTCAGTCAGCACAATTTTTCCAGTTTCGGTACTTTGCCATTTGAGCACAAGCCTCTAATTATGATCAAGCAACAAGTTTCACAACAATCCCGCAATTTATGCACTCACCATACACCATTGCTCCTCCAGTTTCATGCAAGAAGCGAAATCGATGATTTTTAAATAACCAGATTGTCAAAATGGTAAGAATGAGCAAAACATTAAAGACAAGCAGCTCCACCGCTCCCTGATGTCGGAACTGAGACTCATCCTTCCCTGACAAGAACCTTCTCTCCATTCTCCAGTCTTCTCGGGATTCCTTAGATGAAAATCTGGATAAGGACTGTCAAGGTTTGCCTAAGACAGTCTGGCTGCCTGAGAATTTCAGAACAAACACTGCCACTGAAATTGCTACTTCACAAGCATTCTGCCCTGGCTTAGTATTCAGATGGCTTCTAGTTACAACTTCCTGTTTCTCTCTTAAAGCAGCCCCGTCTCTTTTCAAACTCCACAGTGTGGTTTCATCATCGACTTTCACTGTCTTGAAATGATTCATTCCATGAAAGCATCTTTCATATTGCACAAAATTTGCAAGTGACGATGCTGACATCTGTGTCAGGATCTTAGGTTTCAAACAAGCCTTCTTGAAGCTGCATGACCGGTGAATTGTAGATTAATAGTGAAAAAGATCACCTTACATCAGCAATATTTTCTAAGTTCAAAAAGCCGATTCCCAAATCATAACCTTATCACCCATGAGAGGTCTTTTCCTTTCCAACCAAAGTCTGCCAGTGTGACGGGGATTAAGAGCTCTGGTTTGACCTAAAATGATTTCACAGTGATTTGTTTTTCTTTCCTTTTTTTCTAACTTTCTTTCTTCCTTTCTTTTCTCCTTCCTTCCTTTTCTCCTTTCTTCCTTCCTTTTTAAGAAGCAAAAAAGTTGGTATAGGATTCTCTGGCTTTATATAATTGGTAGTCACAAGAGCAACATTTAAACTCTGAATCAATTGTTTTCCTTTTTAACAAGAAAAAATGAAAGCAAAAGACAAAAAGAAAATTCTCTCCCCATCTCTACAGCTGCGCTGGTTGGCTACGTTGAGTCAAAAAAGAAAAGAAACTAATTACAGATCTTTGAAGGAAAAACCATACAGCCAATCTCAGCGATGCCACATACATGGATTTCTCTTTACTGAGCTTCTTCCCCAGACATCCAGGACCCACAGAAATCTGTGGCCAGATCACAAACCTTCTCTGTCCTGTGGCAAAACAATGTTGCTCATTGAGCAATGGTTCTGCCTCCAGAAATGAAGGCTCCACTGTCACAGGGCTCTGTCTATAACCATGATGGTTCTTCAAATTGTCTTCCATTTGGCAAGCTGGTGCTGTCTAAATTTATATATTTGCACTGTTTGATAAAGCTTCAGACAATATTATGATGGGCTTTGCTTCTTTCTAAGTAAATGTTATGACTGGTTTGCCTTTAACAATTGCTTCTACAATGCAATTAGATATGGTCTAAGGTTGAATGAGTTTTCTCATTATTTCATGATATCATTATAACTTAGGATTTTTTTTTATTAATTATCTAGTATCCCCATATGCACTTGACAGAATTAGTATTCAATTTATAAATACAGTCTAAGAGATTCACTAAGTAGGATGAGCCCACATAAGTCCTGAAAAGACCTTCTTTGCCACCAAAAGCTAGAGGTCAAAGATGTAACGTCTGGAGCTAATTAGCTTCTCAGTGACTGTTTCGTCCATAGAGAAAGTCTATCAACCACTTCATATAAAACTCTGCTGTTTCTGCTTCTTTGTCTTCTGCAACTTTCGAAGTGGATTTCCTCTCTGGGCTTAACTCAGCAGGGGGTATTTATATGTACTGCAGATGTTCTTCTAACACACTCCCCTTTTTGGCAGGCATGTGTGTGATGACTAATATTCAAACTGTTTTGAAACCTGTCAGCTAGCTAATGCTTGCAAGCATTTCATGGAGCTTTGCTAGCAGGCTCTACCTTTGCAATCCCACAGGTTTAGTCATTAGTCATGAGATTTACGAGATAACCCAAATTCAAAATCTGGCAACTTCCTGTCATTTTTTTAAATACCATCATTAAATTACTTTGATTTCCTTTTACGACGATTATTCATCTGCGTAGAATAGATTTTGTCTGGTTGTCTTATTATGACATCAATTTTGCTCCCTTACCCAATGCAGCGATGAAAAGCCACAGGATATTTTGATTGGCTTATACATAGTTTTTAGAAGTTTGAAATTTGTTGTCAACATATTCAAATCAGTACATTTCACATTTAAAGAAATCATACACATGGTTTCTCTGGAAAAAACTCGTAAGATCGGGCACAGCGGGCCCCTTCCCACGTGGCCACAATCTGTTAGGGCTCAGTGGTTACCTGCTCCATTCACAGCCAAAGTCCCATTAATCCCACTTCACTCACTGAGGTTCCCTGCCTGGACCCTGAAGTCATTTTCATCTGTGGCCCATGGTTTAGACTTTCCCTACACTGTTGTCCAATCTGTCTCCTGCTTAACATTGAGGTGGAAGGCTGAGGAAAAAGGTGGGTTCAGGAAACTTCTCCAAATTTTTCACTCAAAAGTAATTCAGTTCCTTCTATTTTGAGGTGTTTTTTTCCCCTCATAACATCATTTTACTTTATACTCTACCAATAAGCTGGAGCCCTGGTGATGCAGTGGTTAAGACCTCGGCTGCTAACCAAAATATTGGCAGTTCAAATCCACCAGCTACAAGATTCAACATGCAGGTGAGAGAAAGCAAAGAGAAAGAACAGGACGGCCCAGTCTATTGCTGCTGTCCGTACGTCCTGCCTCCGTTTGCCCATCCAGTCCCATGGCATGAAAGAACTGAAGAGAGGAGCCCCCAGGCCAAGATAACCTTGTTTAGCATAGTAATCTCCTTGTGAACGTGACCCAATCAATGTTACTGAATCTAACCAATCACTTGAGAACTCCCTGTTCTTGGAAAGGACAGTGGAGATTCTGGGGTAGGAGGATTGAGAAGATAAGCTTTCCTAGGGTGGGGAGAGATACCGAGAGTTCCCTTTCCACCTCCTGGAGCCCCACCCTGCTCAGTCTCAGTTCCCTCCCAACCATTGTTACTGTTAGCTGCTGTGGAGTTGGCCCTGGACTCATGGTGACTCCGCGCACAACTGAACAAAATGCTGTCCAGTCCTGTGTCATCCCCATGATCAGCTGTGGACCAAATCATTGTGTTCCAAGAGTTTTCACTGGCTGATTTTCAGAAGTAGATACCAGGCCTTTCATCCTGATCTTAGTCTGAAAGCTTTGCTGAAACCTGTTCACCATCATGGCAACACACAAGCCTCCACTGACAGACAGGTGATGGCTGTGCATAAGCTGCAGTGGCTGGGAATGGAATTGGGGTCTTCCACATGGAAGGCAAGAATTCTACCACTGAACCACCCATGCCACAATAAAAAATACTGTCAGCCTGTACTCGCTCAGAAAATTCCAGTGTCTCCTTCAGGTGGTGTCTCTCCTGATATTTATCCTTATGAGGCCATCGAGGTAAGAGTTTCATATTTTGCCTCTGGAAGCTTCTGAAATTGGCCGAGACATGCTGTAATTAAGTTTGCTTGAAGTCACACAATGCACCAAGCCAAAAATTCATTTCCTGTATCTATTTTTGAACTCACCATAGGTGCATCTTAGCTTCCCCTACTCAAAAAAAGTCACATTTGCATGAAAATGTCCCCAATTTGAACAATATGAACCCCTCCCACTAGTAAATACCTATAAAAAAAAAATGAGAGTTCAAAATTTCACAGAGAAGTTTAAGTCCATAATGAACTCTTGGACAATTTTAAGTCCCAAAGAAATTTACTGCCCAATGCATGGCTTGTGTCTCCAGCCTCTGCAGAGTCTGTGTCTCCGTGATCCAGGGCTATGAGCCCAGGGCATGACTTCTAATCCATGTTCTTTCCACTGCTCTTTATTATGGCAGCCAGGTAAGATAAAGGTACAGAAAAATGTGTGACATGACTAGGGTCCCATCCTTCTTTCACTGTTTTATGAGGTGAGGTCTTATTTGTGGACACTTGATCCTTGATTCCCAGGAGTCCATAATAAGCCCCTTTTACCTCTTGTCCAGTCTAACCATGACAGGAGAGGAGAAGAATCCCTTCCACCTGGGATAAATGCTACTTTGCTGGCCTTCCTCCAGCAAACACATACTGGATCCCACTGGTTTCTTAGACAGTTCTTCAATGAAGAGTCCCAAACCTCTACAGAGACTCAGAAAAGGTAAATCTGGCATTGTTCTTGTGATCTAGCCATGTCATCCCTTATGCCATAACAGGGATGATGGCCTCAGACCAGAAGTCTTGGGAGTGAGACAGGGTCCCAGATGGATATCACTTGATTCCTAATCCAGTCCCTCCTCACTCAGTTTCTCGTAATCCTCTCCTTTTTCTCCCTAGTCTTCTGGCCTCAGTTCACACTACCTCTTTTCTTTCCAAGAGAGTATCTCTTCAATAGAAAAAATAAGCTTCACTCCATAGGACCCTTCTTTCTTGCACATCTTGAAGGATCAAGTCATGAGAAAAATGTCACTCATTGGCTTCTTTATTTTGTCCAGGTCTCTGCCAGCTCTACCAAAGGCAGGGGTAAGTATTGGCTGGCCCCACGGGTTGCCAACCTGTCCCCCATCCAGAGTAGAGGGTTCAGTGGAAAGAAGTATGAGCTCTGGAGCCATGGACAGGGAGGAAATGATGGAGCACTGCCCCTCCAAGCTACAGCTGTTTTTAACCCAAAATTCCTGAAATCAAAGACCCAACAGAATTTGTTTCTTTGATGTCCCATTAAGTGTCTACATGAAAATTCACTTTCTTCTTAGGACATTAAGTTCAACTCTGTGTCTTACAAACTAATTACTCTGACCCCATTGGCTAAAAGAGCCTTTGCCCTATCATTTCTCTCTGTTAAATTGCAAACTTTTCTTATATAATCTTACAAAGAAGGGCACCATGCCCATCATCTTTCCCTAATTTCTACATTTTTCTCCAGAGGAAGAAAGGGTCACAGGAGAGAAGGCAGAAGTTGAATAAGCTTGGAAATATTTTTCTTAAATGAAGTATGTAAATTCCAAGTAGACTTTGACAGAAAGTTCTTTTAGTCCCTCCTAAAAACAAACAAAAAAAACCCCAAACTCGTTGCCATTGAGTCAATTCCAACTGACAGGTGGCTGGCAGATTCAAACTGCTGATTTTTGGTTAGCAGAGCTCTTAACCACTGAGCCTCCAGGGCTTTAGTCCCTCCTAAGTCAATTCACAACCCAGTCTTTGGAGCAGGAACTTAGGCAGCTTTTGTGAGACAATGTCTCAGTGTGGGTTCCCTCAAAAGTAGATGCTGTGATAGGACTTAGGTGCAGATGGCTTATTTAGGAGATGATCCCAGGGAACACAAGTGAGGAAGAGGGAAAAGTGAGATAAGGAAAGGAGAAAAGCCAGTAAAGTTCCCATCCCCCTTTGGTGAAGGGTTGCCCTTGGGAACAACTCCCCTGTACTTCCAGGTTTTATCCTCCGTTGTGGAGCAAGCTTCCCTAGTTCCAGAAAATCCCTAAGGCAGAGAAGAGGTGCTTGAGGATAAAAGCTGCCAGTTCACCACAAAATATCTCCTGCCGCAGAACTTAGGCTGACTGAGGAAAACAGCCAAAGCATCAACAGTGCATCATCAGGGCGTCTCTGCCACAGAAAGCCTGGTCTTTGCTTTCTCTTTAGAGAATCTGTTAAATGCCCCC